TCCCAATAACAAATATTTTATTTTCTTCTAATAGTGGATAAAGAAAACTCATATCGTACTCTCAATGACAAACCTAGTCGTATCCGTCGCATGCTCAAGTGAAGATATGATTTTTTCAATAACGGATAAATGAATCATCTATTCATCACGTCCGATGATTCGTTAATCACTAAAGGATCTCGTCTTATCAATATTAGTCTATTTGTCCTTGATAAGGAATCAATATTATCATTTATTTTCATATGTCATGTTCATTCATATATTCATGGAAGTCATTTGATAAAATATTATGATAGATTATAATTCGTATACTATTTACTAGATTCAGTCGACTAGTAACAACACACTAGACTTTTAGCTCTTTTTTATAATGTACATATTTAATGTGGATTACCTAGCATAATCACTTATATCACATGATAATAATTACATAAATATTATATTATATTTTTTATATCTTAAACATTGGTTTGGTAGTGATGTATAATATCTATTTACCTAAGTGTCACGGATGGTCTCACACACCTGCAATCCCTTCATCAATAAACTATTTGTCGCTTTTGTTTGCTTATACATATGTTTGGTAGCATGATTTTCTTTATTTTTATGTGTTTTTGTTTGAAAACTGTAAGCATAAATAATTTGTAATGCTGCAAAGCGATCACTCATCAGAATGGGCAAAACTATCCCAAAATGATTTAATTTTTACATGTCATGACTTATTTTCTATGGGCTACAATATGTATTACCCATCTCAATCCACCAGAACCTCCCGGGTAGTACCTGGCTAGATAGGGATTTGGAGTAGTGTTAGGCATTGATTGGATTTACAAGTTTATATGTTAAGCTAATGGGAACTTGCCAATGCGTCTGACACCTCGTGAGTAATCGTTTGCATACTTGTGACTAATTGTTTGTCTTCTAAATCTTTGTTTTCTTCTTACTCTCTTTTCTTTATTTACTCACCTTTACGTTCTTGAAGCGAGTCTAAAGGAACATTTTCAAGGTCAACGAAGGCTTCTTAGGATAAAAAAACTCACAAAAAGAGATAGAATCTCGGATTGATAAGGTTAAGTCCCAAGTAGATCTATTGACAGAAGACACCAAAGACTCAATACAACACCTACACGAAATCATGACGAAATTCACATCTAGGATTACATTGCTCACAAGGGCTCTTAATAAGGAAGAGAGTAACACCTATATTGCTTTGTTATAAAACTTGAGAGCACCTGAGCCGTATTGCTACGGGATTGCCAAGGATACGAAGGAGCTTGAGAATTTCTTTTTTGATATGGAATAATACTTCTGAGCTACGAGACTCGATTCTATAAAAACTAAAGTTTCAATAGTAACCATGTATCTAAATGAGGATATAAAACTTTGGTGACAAACATGTTAGTAAGAGATCCAACAAGGTCAATGTTGAGTAGACACATGAGAGGACTTAAAGCGGGAATTGAGAACTCAATTCCTACCCATGAATATAGAGTTCATCACAGGAAGGAAGATGAGATAACTCTGCCAAAGTACTTCAATTCGAGACTATATGAAATAATTTTAGCATTGATGCTAGACATACAAGTAATGTCTGAGAAGGACAAGCTATTTAGCTTCCTCAATAAACTAAAGTTATAGGCACAACATGAACTAAATCAAAGGAATGTAATCGATGTGGTCGAGACAATCGTAACTTCGGAAGGTTCACTGACTTTGTTTTGCTGGAGGGAAAAAAGATAATCTTTGAAAAATCGCCCATCTAAGTATTTCCAAGCGAAGAAGTCCATAATTGAGCAAAAGAAAAGGGGTTCCCATAAAGGTTCAAGTTCAAAAGGTAAGGCCCTAAAACCTGATAAATGTTTCTTATGTGGAGGACTGCACATGGTGAGGAAGTGCCCACAAAAGCAAGCACTCAATGCATTTACAAATATCAATTCATCCCCTAGATTAGACAAGAGCAAGGTCATCACCCTTAGTTTAGGTAGTTTAGAATCTAACATGAGCGATAAGGAGTTACAAGGATCTTAGATGGGAGCAATGCATTTGTTGAATGTGTTGCGAGATCAAGTGAGAGAGAACATAAAAATGATGCCTAAAAAGTAGGGAGTAGTAAGCTGATGTATGTACACATCAAGTTAAATGACTGATAATTCATTTGTTGAATGATATATGTGGTTATCAAGTTAAATGGCTGACAACTCATGCGATGGTGGACACCGATGGCGAAAACGATGAAGAAGTAGACAGATTTAAAAAGACGACCATAAGAGTTTAAAGTCAAAAACTTGGTGTTAGTGAAACTCCAACCAACATCACTTTAGTTTATTAGGCATAAAGTGTATAAGGGACTGATACTCAAGTATGAAAAACTTTTCCTAATTATTAGTAAGGTAGGTAACTCAAAAATTACAATTCCTTTCATGCAAGTAACTTGAAAGCCTAACACTCAGAACCGCAAGATGCTTCCCAAAGTATTCCAACTTAATTAACCCTCACCAAAGTCTCCTATAAAAAATGAGTTGAAATCATTTTAGCAGATCACAAGATAAAACTATCTAACAAAGTAGAGCATATCGAGTACTTGATGAAATGGTAAAAGCTTCCTCGAACAGAAGCTAATTGAGAGTCTGAAGATGCCTTGTAATATTAAGAAGTAATCATTAAAACCTACTAGCAAGCATTAACGAGGATGTCGATAGTTTTGAGTGGCGAGAATCTCACAAACGATTGTCGCGTACCCATAATACTTTCGTTAGTATATTGTTCATCGCTTTTGTTTACTTGTATATATACTTGGCAATGTGTTTTATTTTATTTTTATGTTTTTGTTTGAAAACTGTAATTAAGAATAGTTTACAATGCTGCTGAATTACCGTTCACCATAATAGATAAAACTATCCCAAAATGATCAAATTTTCGTATATCATGACATGTTTTCTACAAGCAACAGTGTAGAGAAAAACATCAGCCATCTTAGCATCCCAGAATCTCTCAAGTGGCACATGGCTAAATGGGGGTTTGGAGTAATATTGGGCATTGATTGGATGTGCAAGTTCATATATTAAGCCAACAGAAACTTGTCATTGCTCCTAACACCTAGTGAGTAGTCATTTGCGGAGTTGTGACTGTTCATTTATCTTCTAAAGTCCTAATTTTTTCTTTCCTCTTTTTTTTTTCTTTTACACACAGAGTGTTTGTTGAATTACTTATAAAGTTATTTTTTCATGAGATATCGGGACTTTTTCATCATTTGATTTCGAACTAATCAATTTATTCTTTTATAAGTTCTTCATGACTTGAGCGAGGTTACAATTAGGATGACCTTTTATGGAGGAATAACGCAATGATGTCTTATGACTTAAGCAATCCCAACTAAATCCATGACATAAGGTTAAAGATTCAAAACCCCAATTAACGCAATGATGTCTTATGACTTAAGCAATCCCAACTAAATCCATGACATAAGGTTAAAGATTCAAAACCCCAATTAACATAGTATCAACTAAACTAAGCTTTATAGTTTATCGCAAGGTCAATTAACGGATTTGAAACCTCGAATAGTGCCTTCACCATTTATCATTTGGAAAAAGAATAATCATATCAATATTATCAACATAATCTCAAAATAATAAAAAAAAAACTCATCAATTTTAAATCATAATTTTTAATAAAAATTTTAAATTTATTAAATAATAAAATCATGAGTTATCAACACCCTCACTAGAATCGTCCAATTGATTTGAACCGGATAAGTTTTCTGCAAGAACCAACTGAACCAACATAAAATTCACTTAAGACTGGTCTAAATCATCCTAACCCAGTCTAATTTTCACTTTAACGGATCCAATTTAGGTTAAACCAACTTAAACCTGGCAAGCCAAGTTAAGAATACCTCGATCAAAATTGGTCCGGTCGAGTCAATTAGAGGGCTCCAACCGGACGACACGGGCCACTTGAGCTTGTCCCGCTAAGGAGGCATAGAAGCTGCGCCCCTGTGTGCCACGGGCTAAAGGGAGTGGATCGGCCCGCGTCTAGTGCACAGGCGAATGGGGCCAAATCTGGACCAAGCCTAATAGGCCATGAACCGGACACGTGCGACATGACTGAACCGACGGGCCCCATGGGCTGAACAGATCAGCACCCAGACCAAACACGCACGTTGGTTAGTCTAACCGGGTCCCTCGGTTCCGATTTCAAACCATATTAAACTAATTAACATGATATTAAAAACACGTCCTATTTAATATAAATATGGAATTCTAATAATTCGAATTAAATAAACACATGAATTAACCCATTAATCAATAGAGATTTTAATATGCAGCATGTTTCCAAATAATTAATTCAATTTGATTTGAAATAAAAAAACAAGTATTTCATAAAATTTATCGATTAAATAAATCAACATGCCAAACTAATCAGATCAACTTTATCCTTACTAAAATGGAGTGAGCTTAATAACATAATCGGTACATTTTTACTGCATAAATACAATATGGCAAAGTGTAAGAACGTAAACTTAGGAGCACAAATGGCAACGATCCAATTTACTCCAAACAAAAGCATAACAAAGATGTCGATCTGTGCAGTTGCATAACAAAATTGTCGAGCGAACGACGTTAATGTTCCATTCTCGTCAACAGGAATTCAGACATCATATGATATTAAGTAAGAATAGCAAATAATTGTTGTAGATGCAATCAACATCAAAACAGGAATAATGCCTTCGAGAATTTTGGGAAGAAGAGAAGAAGAATATGGACTGAAACAACAACAGCAGCAGCTCCGACTATTCTATTCTTCAAAGCGGAATTCCCCTCGAAACAGGAAGGGTAGTTTCGTCCGATTACTTCGTCGTGAGACTAAACCGGTTCGGGCTGGGGGAACGCCCCCAAAGCGCTGACACCGACATATGCTACGATCACCTTGTCCAATCACCCATCAATGTTGGATTAATTACGACATTACTCGCTCTTAATTTCCGTCCCTTCGATCGTTAAAGGGTTTCACCCCTCCCCGTTTCTCCATCGGCCCCCTCTTGACGAAGGGGCTTCCTCCTCCGTCTCTGCAGCATCGCTTTCGTTCCTTTTGTTTCCCTTATTTGCCTTCTCAGCGTTGATCGGGATCGTTCCACCGACAGCCTTACAGAGAGCGACACGTTGAGGTATGCAGTCGGATCCGACGGTCATTAGCTTGAGGCCTGGCGGCGGCGGCAACCGAGGCAGCAGACTCCCAGCCCCCCGCTTCGATTCTGCCTCCCTCGGCTCCTCCGATATTCCTGTCCTCCGGCCCCACGGCGGCGCCGGTGCAGCTCTTTCGCTCAAGGTCCCTGGAGAGTTCTTTTATTGATCTATGGTTTTCGCTCATTTGGATAAAGTTCGTGCCTTTAAGCGGTTTCGTGCCGTGTTCCAGCTAGGGCTTTTGGTTTCTCTATGTTGGATTTAGTGATTTGTTGATGTGATATCTTGCGGTTGATCTGGCTTGTCTTGCCCGTGTTGGGATGATTTTGCTGGGAAATTTAGACTTTTATTCGAACTCTTCAGTGTTTGAACTCAAATTTCGTGCGTTTCAAACGTCAAAGATTTTTTTCCCAGCATTTAATACGACAAAAATTGAATCTGGCAAGTTTCTAGAATCGTGAATGCTTTCTACGTGATTGTTAGTATGAAAGGTGAGCCCATGCATTTCGTATTCAATTGAATTTGTAAATACTTTTCAAGGATGCACATTATTTAATGTTTATTTTTATATAATTTGGAAGCATTATACTCGAAATAATGCCTTGAGGTTGTAAACTTGTGTCTTGAAATTGTTAATACTGTAATTTAATTTGAGATATATTGAATATAATGCAAATACTGTTGGTCTGTTGGATCATTGTCCCTTTATATGCTATCCAATTTCTGATGTTCATTATGTTTGATATGCTTGACATCTTGTCCATATGTTGTTTGTGAGACAACTATGTTGTTTATTTCTTTTTTATGTGTTAGTTTTGAGAGTAGCTGTTACAAGACTTCTTTATAATGCATAATTCTCCTGGCAGACTTGGGATGCAAGATTTGAGAACCGTGAGCGCATTTGTTACACAAAGGATCAACTTTTACAAATCCGTGAGGTACATATGAATTTTGGTTTGGACTGATTTTTTTTTAATATTAGCTCTGATCTATGGGTACGTCACCTTGTTGATCTTTAATTTGAGCCTTTGAGGAAGCTTTGGTCTGTTACAATCCCTTTTCTTTCAGAAAGTTTTTCATCTTGTACTTGATTAAAAAAAACATCCACCTTTTTTCCCAAAATAATTCCTAATTTTCCCCCTTTTTTTGGTTGGGGGGTTCAAGATTAATTCATATTGCAAAATTTTTTTAGACGCTCATAATTGCTAGAGTTAATTTTTTATGTAAATCATTCCCATATCTAGTGAAGCTACTTGTTGTTTTGATTTTAGTGTGCTGTATTTTGCTGATAGAATTAGTGTCATTTCTTAAATTAGTGTTTGGGAAGAATGCTGTTAGCTTTGCCATTTGTGAACATTTCTTGTCATCAACAAATGTAATCCCATCATAAGAAAAACCCTCTCCTGCATCAAACAAGATGAAAGCTTTGTGCCAAATAAATGAGCTAAATGAAGGTATTCGTTTTATTGGATACAATATCTTCAATCATGTTCTTGATATGGCTTTGACTTTTTTTACTTGACAGCATGTTGAAGCTCTTGAAGATATTCTGAAAATCAAGCAGGAGATCGAGGCTGGTTTGTTCATTGAAGACCAAACATGGAGTCACGGTGATGCAAATGTATGTTGAGATCATTTTGTGTGGAATGGCATACATTTTGAAAATGTTTTTTCTTTTTGGTGTACTTGTAGAGAGTACAGTGGAGCAGTTCGAACAGACTAGATATTTGGTCTTCTAAGATATATTTAGTATGGATATTTCATGCTTGTTACTTTTAAGAATGTTTGAACATTTGGTGACATCTTGTGTAGTTTTATGTGAATATTTTCTGTTCAAGCTTCTTCAGGCTTCTGCATGTATTATTTAAATAACTATTTTTGCTTGCCAGTTGCTGAGTCAATCACAGAACCGTTATTATGAACCCGACAATCGTGATTGGCGTGGCCGATCAGGGCAGTTGCCTTCACTTAGAGATGAGAATCCTGACAACAAAGAATCAAATATCTTGAGCTCCAGATCTCGTGAAACAAACCAATTGAACAGGCAGGAGCAACCAAGCAGCCAGTTCTCTTCAAAAGTCCAAGTTTCTTCGACTCAGGTTGTATATTAATTAGTTAAAATGCTTGCAAATATCTTTTTTTTTTTCCTTATCTGACCCTGACTAATAAAGCAAATGCTGGCTGTATCTGTTATCTTTTAAAGCCTACTTCTCTTGTTAGGTATTGTTTATTATGTTCTTTTGGCTTGCTTCTGTTCTTGAATTATTTGTATCATTTATCTCCTAATAAAATATCAGAATTGATGTTGTGTCTCTGATGATTAAGTTATTCATCATGCTTATCTTTCAAGATTAATTCATCAAATCATACATATAATGGTTTCTTCATAGTTTGTTGTCTGTTCCTTCCAGAATTTCTAGTAATATACTTTTTGATTTCTTAATTTTTCACCTGGAATACATGGCTTATGCACAACTTTCAAGTTTGTTTATGCTTTCTGTTATTTAAAGGATGTATTTTGAGGGTTCTCTTGTTCATTCCTTAACTTGGTTCAAGTTCATGTTATTCTTCTTCATCTATGACATTCTAGCGGCTGAACTATGACATGTTCAATTTTACTTTGCATGTTTAAGCTTATGTTCGTCAATTGGCTATTTAATAGTTTCTTATCTCGACATCCTCTGTCCTCAGTATTTTTCAACAAGGTGACATTTATTATCGGAAGCCTCATTGTGTCTGCTGAATCTTTTGTTTTTTTCTGATATATTGCCGATGGATAGATGCTAATGGTAGGTTTGTGCCTTTGTGATCAACTTGTTTATGTATTCTAAGCTTCCAAAATAATTGCCTTAACAAAAGTCTGGTATCTCTTGCTGAGCTTTAATGGAATCCAACAGGAAACATATTTGTTGACTTTTCTCTTACAAGGTAGCAATTGGTGTATGTATAACAAGGATTTAGGTTTTTGGTATGGTGCCTTTGTGATTCAGACATTAGTTATAATTAATTTCTCTACAATACCATACTGTTTTGTTCATCCTTGTAACTAAATTTTCTTACTCATGCCTTCCTAATTTGAAATAACAAAGAATATCCTTCATTCCAGTGATTTAAAAAGCGCTAGGCGTCAAAAGGCATCAAGGTCCAAAAACGCCCGAGGCGCTAGGCGCTCGTCCCGAGCGAAGCGAGACACTAAAATATAAAACTATATAATATAATTAATAAATATAATTATTTAAAGTTTTAAATAAAAATATGCTATTAAATTAACAGTATTAAAATCAAAATAATATATTATTAATCTAATAAATACAAATACATTATTGTTGCTAGTATACTGTTAACAGTATACTTTCGAAAGAGGAGAAGGAAGAGGAGTGTAAGGGAAGACCGAGGGTGCAGCGACAGCAATAAAAGTGAGCAGTGGCAGCGAGAGCGGCGAGCGGCGGGAGCGGGAGCGACGATAGCGGCAGCGAGCAGCGGCAGCGGCAGCGGTAGCGTGAACGGCGAGCAGGGTTAGGGTTGGGCAGCGATAGCTGATATCGGTGCTTTAGTTGTTCGATTGAACCAACTAAAGCACCGGAGACCGAACCAGACCTAAAACGCTGGTTCGGTTGCCTGGTTTAACCTAGGCGCTCGCCCGAAGCGCCCGGCGCCTGGGTGCCCAGGCGGCCCCTCTTTGAAGCGCGCCGCCTGGAAGTGTGAAGCGAGGCGCTTGGGCCTCGGCGAGGCCCGAGCGCCTATTGAAATCACTGCTTCATTCCAACTGCTGTCAAAGAATGTAGTTTTATTCAAGATGGCATATGTGCCAATAAGGTGCCAGCAGGTAAATAGTGATGCCTATATCTGTTTATAAGCATGGTTAGTTCCTGGCTGTTACAGCCTTGAGAGACATGTTAGAAAGAGAGAGAAAAGATCCAAGTATTTGTCTGCATTGTTTATTGTTTGAAAATAAAACTATAGGTGTTTATGGTTGACTGATCTGGAAATGCATAAGCAATCATGTCTTATGAACTGTGATACCTTTTTTGTCCTTTTGCAAGGGATTGTTGCTTTTCTTTTGTTGGAACATTAGTCCTTCAAGCCTGCAAGGTCCCTCGACTTGTTAAGCATCCCTCTTACTTATGCCTATGAACTCCCATTTCTTGTCCATAATTTTGATATTTGGTACTTTTTAATTGCAAATTTTAGGGAGGGCCTGCTGCTGCTCTTATTAAGGCTGAAGTACCATGGTCTGCTCGAAGAGGGAGTCTTACTGAGAAAGAACGGGTCCTGAAAACAGTAAAAGGGTAATTGACCTAATTCTTTAGTTCAGCCTTGTTGCAAATGTTGGTCAAATGCTATTGTATAGTTATTTAGGGTAATTGACCTAAAAAATATGTGTGCAACTTTTTTGGTGTTGCATCTGTTGCATACTGGTTTGGGTTTCACTACTATATTCTTTTCATGTAACCTCAATATTGTTGTCTATATGCAATCCTATATGGAAATATTGCTTAACTTGCTTTTTTTTCAATTTTCAAATGGAAGCAACTATATGTGAAGGCTTTGTGTCAAAATCTACAGTTCCTGTGATGTCTTTTCTGCAGTATTTTGAACAAGCTGACACCCGATAAATTTGATCTTCTCAAGGGTCAACTAATCGATGCTGGAATTACAACACCTGATATCCTGAAGGTTCTTACTTTGCTTTTATGTACTAAAATTCACTCCTGAGAAGCTCATTTGGTTGTGTTATTCTAGATTTAACTTGGTTAACACACTAACGCTGCAGGGTGTCATTACACTCATATTTGAGAAAGCTGTTCTTGAACCAACTTTCTGCCCCATGTATGCTCAACTCTGTTCTGATCTAAATGAAAAGCTACCCTCGTTCCCCTCCGAGGAAGCTAATGGGAGGGAGATTAGCTTCAAGCGAATACTGTTGAATAATTGTCAGGAAGCATTTGAAGGTGCTGGCCAACTGAGGGCTGATATAAGAAAGCTGACTGATGAAGACCAAGAAATGGAACGAAGGGATAAAGAGAGAATGGTGAAACTTCGTACTCTTGGTAATATTCGCCTTATTGGTGAGCTTTTGAAGCAGAGGATGGTCCCTGAAAAAATTGTCCATCATATCGTTCAGGTAAATTTTCTGTGGTAACTTTTTGTCTGTTTACAGCATCTGATGATGTGTTCCTTTAAATGCTTGTGTGATTATTGCAAGTAGGAGCTACTGGGGCCTGATAACAAAGCCTGTCCTGCTGAAGAGAATGTTGAAGCAATCTGCCAGTTGTTTAACACCATCGGTAAACAATTGGATGAGAGCCCCAAATCTCGGCGTTTCAATGATGCCTATTTCAATCGGCTGAAAGAGCTAATAACGATTCCACAGCTTGCATCTCGTCTAAGATTTATGGTCCAAGATGTGCTTGATTTACGTGCCAATAACTGGATCCCTCGTCGTGAGGAGGTATCTTTTCCACTTCTTTAGCCGTTTTCATTCACAGATTTAGCATTCCCTTTGTGAAGAATTATAATTTTCTTAACCTTATTGGAGTTTTTCATGTTTTGTTACATGCCCTGATGAGGTAGATTAATTGGTAGAAACTGATTTGAAAATGTAAATAAGAGTTGGACACCTTTGTCAGTTTTCTTGACACTTCTTTGATTGCCTGGTTATGTAGGTAAAGGCCAAGACAATTACTGAAATCCATAGTGAGGCAGAAAAGAATCTTGGATTGCGTCCTGGATCAACTGCAAGCCTGAGAAATAGTCGCAATACTGGTGGTTTTCCTGTAAACCGACCTGGAACAGGAGGTATGATGCCTGGGATGCCTGGAGTACGAAAAATGCCAGGGATGCCTAATCCAGATGGGGACAGTTGGGAAGTTCCACGCAGCAAGTCGATGCCCAGGGGTGAAGCTAGAAGTGTACAGAAACCTTTGGTGGCAAAGCCATCCCCCATAAACCCTAAGTTATTACCTCAAGGTAGTGGTGGCCTGGTAGCTGGTATGACCAGTGCCTTGTTGCAGGGCAATGGTCCACAGGCTCGTTCTTCTAGTCTTGTCACGGGCACAAAAGACTCTCCGTCTCGAAACCTTCCCTTGAGGCCTGGTGGCCGAGCTTTATCTCCTTTGATCTCAGATAAGCCAGTGCCAACTTCGAAGTTTAATACTAATGAACTGCATAAGAAAACAATTGCGCTTCTGGAAGAATATTTTCATATCCGCCTCATAGATGAAGCACTTCAATGCATTGAGGAACTTAATAGCCCTGAATACTACCCAGAGGTTGTCAAAGAAGCCGTAAATCTGGCTCTGGAAAAGGGGCCTTCATGTATGGAACCTGTTATGAGGCTACTGGAGTATTTAGCGGTCAATAAGATTTTTACTTCTAGGGATCTGGGGACAGGTTGTTTGCTTTATGCTGCCATCCTTGACGACATTGGAATTGATCTACCGAGAGCACCTACTTATTTTGGTGAAATTACCGGTAAACTGGTTCTTGCTGGTGGCATAGATCTCACGGTAGTGGAGCAAATTCTCAAGAAAGTTGAAGATCCACTGTTTCGATCAATGATATTTGATGCTGTGACGAAAGCTATTCGAACCAGCCCAAACGGTCAGTCGATATTGAGCGGGCAGGCAGCCATCATCAGTGCGTGTGAGAAGCTGTTATCCTGATTTAGCTGTAGTAGCTGCTAGTTAAAAGTTGCTTGCTGCTTGAAAAAGGTTCCTACTTTTGTTCCCTATTCCATTATCTTCTTTCATTTGTCTTTCCCTGCCTTAACTATGAGTACGATGCAATTTCTTCAAGAGCATCTGTGAGGAACCATATGAGCTGTATATTTCTGCGAGGTAACATGAATTTAATTATTGAATCAAGAAGCATGCCATGAGAATTCGGTCATCACTGCGGTTTAAGAATGTGATGATGAGTTGTGTATATAATTTGTTTTCGATTGTGTTCTCAATGTTTTTGCCCCTACTTATCCTTCATTTGCATGCCTCGAGATCTAACCAATCGATCACCCAGGAAGAAGCTCACTTGTAGACTGGAGGTGGGTAAGGGTAGGACCAGATTTGGATATCAATTACCATGCAATTGTTGACACACTGTTTGAACCCCATCTATGGTGTTGTCTTCCGTGGCTTTTGTCATGAACCCAAAAGCTATAGCCTGATGGCAATGCATCACCTTCTGAGTGCATGTCAATTGTGCCAGACATGTGTCATTTGTACTTCTTTCAGTTTATGGATTATGTGTGATTGCAATGGCTCGTGTTGGTTGGATGTATACATTTATCATTAGCATACATGTCATTTATTTCTCAAGGGTGGGGAACTTTTTCTTTGAGCAAACTATATGGTGTGAATCCTGGGCAGCATGCTTCATGATGAAATGCCAAAATTGTGCGTGGAATATGGCAAGACAAAGAACTCCAATTATTTTCCTCTACACACAGAGAGAGAGAGAGAGAGAGAGAGAGAGAGAGAGAGAGAGAGAGAACATATGCCTCGTTTTGTTCTTGTTCTTCTACGTGTAAATCACGGAATCTTTGTGCCCACAGTTGGCTTTCCTCTCTCTATAAATCTATACAAAAATTACTTTTTCGATTGCATGTATGAGGTGAATCCATCAATACATGGTACTCGAACTATATTTGGTAGTGAATCCATGTACTCATCCGAGGTTGGTGGTTGTCTCAAACCTCTGACACGTAGAGCTTACGGTCGAGATCGAGTTCCTCACATTAAGATCTATCTATCTATCTTTTTCGAGGGAAATCTCATTCCAGTCACACGACGTTATCCATCTCCCAAAACATACTGGCAACTTTTCATACTTCATGCACCGGATTGATGTGTGCTTAGAATCCACGTTATCTCGCTCGCCACAATTGCTCCCAACTTCAGTACGATCCATTTCCCCTATAAATCTCCTCCGGTTTCTGTGATCACCGTGCCGCGCCACAGTTTACCGGATCGATGAAGCCCGGAAGTCTCCTCTCCCCCCTTCTCCTCGTCCTCTTGTTTCAAGCTTGCCGGTCTGCGTCCAACCAAACCACACTCGGTGGAGCAGACGAGGCTCGCCGACTGCCTCGACTCAACCAGAGCCAGCCGGCTCCAGGTTTGACGACGAGCTACATGATCTCTAGTCCGGTTGCCGTCACAAGCACAGCTTTGACAATCGCAGGTGGCCTCAATGCGACCGTCGTCTCGAGGGCGGGGAATGGGGAGTTGGACGCCATGAGGAGCACGACCCACTCGAAGGGTGGCGGCAGCGGTGGCGGCAGCGGTGGCGGCAGCGGTAGCGGTAGCGGCGCGGGAAAAGGAGGAGGGAAGGGCGTCGGGAGCGGGAAGGGCGAGGGCGGCGGGTCGCAGTCGGTCCGTCAGCCGCGCGACCCGCGAAGCAGCGGGGCGTCGAGGCGGCGGCCGTGCTCGTCTCTCGCGCGGCTCCTCCTCCGTCTGCACCTGCTCTGCCTCCTGCTTTGGTGGTGGTGGCGGTGGTGAAGAAGAAGAAGAAGAAGAAGGCGGAGGATAGTGATGAGTTGGTGATGGTCGATGCCATCAAAGAACAACTGGCTGATGTTTTTTGCTATCGTTTCCTGACGGCTCGTCCGTCCGTCATGACAAACAGAAAATGGACAGATTTGTGTTCCTCCGGAGTTAGCAATGAAGAAAATGATATGAATAATAAGTTATTTAATTGTTTTAATATTTCAAAATCGATTGTTTATATATGCAAAATGTCAACCATCATACCATCTATTATTTCCTTTCTTTTGCTTCTCCTCCTTTGTGGTTGGATTGCACGTATCACTTGGAAGTGCCCCATTGCCCTCTAAATCTACTGAGAGCAACTTATTTTCGTACCTCATTGTGTTTGAGTGGGAATATATGCTGATGTAGAAATGCATTGACACGCCTTAATCGTTTGATGGTTAGAGGAGGAATCTTATTCCTTTGTTTTAAGAGGAATTGAAGCGAAATCTAGCAAGGCAGATTTTTAGCTCTCATTGATGTGGAACAATAAGCTAAAATGATCAGAATGACATTTGTGTGACCTGTCTCATGATCTATCTTTAAGCTAACCATCATCATCTCTTCGGATGGTACATTTATTATGACACCAATTGTCTAATAGGAATACTGATTCATCAACTTGCTCTTCAAATCACAATCCCAACTCATTAACTTGAGTTAATGAGCTTAAACCACAAATTTCTTTTTCTTTAGACCCAATTTTTTTTTCTCCTTTCCTCTTTATTCTTTTTCTCTTTATCATTTGAGAAAACAAGAAAATTTCAAATATCGAACATTACCTAAAATTTCTCATAAATTCAAATGATAGAATTAGAATAAACATATTTTTGGGCTTCCCACTACACAAAGCCTCATGTTTTTTTTTTCAATCAATTTTTAATTCTTATCTTCCTCCCCAATATAAATTAATTATAAATTATCCCCTGTAGTTAACTACCTTCAACATCTCGAATCTTATATTTTAAAAAATTATATTAACATCTACGTAGTTATGAAAATAAAATATTTATAAGTTGAAGAGAACAACGATGAAAGGTAAAGACCGCTCGATATCTAGATCAGTGTCGATGTAAATGTAGAACAATAAAAGGGTAATCGAAGTAAATATCGAGTGACCCTTTCGTCGTTCATTATCCATATCGATGCAAATGCAAAACAACCTTTACTTTTATAGTCGCTCTCCTCATTCATAATAATCACTTACAGACCTCAACGATATTATCATCCACCACCACCAATTAAAACGTTAAAATTATTATTATTAATTTTTTTTTATATTTTTACTATTAAAATCAAAAATAAATAAATTTAGATATTTCACTTTCATAACTATAAATATACCAATATAATTTTTTAAAATATAAGAATCGAGATGCTAAAGATATATAAAGAAAATAATCTATAATTACCCTCCTTCCCAATATAATATTATTAATTACTGATTCTAGTCTTCCTCACTAATCCTAATATAATATTATTGTGCTAAAATAGATAAAAATCTCGTTATAAACTAATTTCGAATTGTCAAAGAGCATAACGATGATAGAGGTCGCGTTAGTAGGAATCAATACTTATTTGAAGAGAAATTGTATAGATTTGAAAGCAAGATACTTATCACTCATCACAAAAATGTCTAAGTGTGTTAAGATTCTCTTCAAATCATTCATCACAAAAACCTAAAATCGACAATAGTTACCCTTTCGTTATTCATCTAGCAAATATAGAACTTTTATTTTTTATCATCACTCTCCTCCTCCACAATAACCACCCGAAGACCCCAACAACACTATCATCAATCATCAACAATTGAAACGTTAAAATTATTTTTTTATATTTTTACTGATAAAATCAACATCATTAGAATAAATAAATTTAAACATTTTATTTTTATAAATATAAATATACTAATATAATTTTTTAAAATATAAAAATAGAGATGCTAGGTATATACAAAGATAATCTATAATTACCCTCCTCAATATAATATTATCAATTCCTGATTCTAGTCTTCCTCACCAATCCAGTTTTTATAAATATAATATTATTGAGCTAAAATAGACAAATCCAGTTACGATCCAAATTCGAAACTGTCAGAGAGCATAATGGTGAGTATGAATCAATACCTAAGTCGATCAGATGAAGAAACTAATGACACAAGAATTTGTATAGACTTGAAAGCAAGTATGATACTTACCTCATCACAAAAGTGAGACAAATGTTAACCATGTCAAAAAAAATTTAATCGCTAAATCTGCACCATGGTTTGATGATTTAACAGTTAATTAGATGCTGAGTATACAATCCCCTGCTGTAGGAAGCTATAACTGGGAACTTCCATCCAGTGTCACCATGAATGGATTTGCACCATCAAACAAACTATAAATTAGTACCAACAAATAATGCCAGATCATATTTGGCTTCGGATTCAATCAAGAAAAGCAAACGGAAAATAATTTTGGCTCTGTTGCTTTGATATGGATGCCAGATGTGTTATTATTGCAGCTTCAGTGAAGCAAATTTTGCCGCGACATCCATTGCCTCCTCAAGGCGGGATGCATCGCTCCCCTGCAAGACGAGCAAATATTTGATCATGTTCCACATCATTGTCAATGAAATCTACTTGAGCATCTGATGTTTCTTTCAGATCACTGAACTTACCTGGCCCTGGGCGATGCCGTTTTTCCCACCACCACCCTTTCCCTTAAGGGGCTTCATTACTTCATTTAGCCATTCTAACACTGCCAGCCCAGTCTTTGATCCACTGTTGGGAACCCCAGCATAAACAACGGCTTTGTTCAATGTCTCATCTGTGCTGAACACCATCACCGCTAACCCCTATAGTAAAACCACCAGCATCTATGTCAAAAAGACAAAAAAAAATGACATACTAACTAGTAACGGAGTGCAAGAAATGGGGAATCACCACTAAAATAAATTATTACAAAAGTTTCCAATCATATGCATGTGAAGGAAAAGCTATGAAAAGGTGAAAGACCTGTAGTTCCAAAACTTTCAACACTGCTTCTCGAACCGCTGCAGTATCCAGCCCTACGTCTACTTGTGCGATGCAAAAGGCTTTTCGTTCAGAAGCAGCAGCTTTTGCAACTTCTGTTGCTGCTTTGACTGCTTTCTGTATATTTTCCTCAGCAATCTTCTTCTTTGCCTTTCTAACACGATCCTGGTAAATCGTTATAAAAGAGTTAATGAGATCTACTTGCATAGTGGCATAGAAAGATCACAAGACAAGTAACTGCCTCCCCCACCAAAAACTACTCTGACGAATCGAAGGATACAAACTTATAATGACATGTTATATACCTCCAGTTGGGAAATCTTGGCTCTGAGGTCTGCTTTTATGGCTGCTGGAATAGCAGCTGCATCAATTTTGCTTTTCAGAGTGGCAACTTTCTGCCAAAAAAAAAAAAGAAAGATAAAATCAAAGTGAGTAAAAAAAATGCAAAACTAAACAATTTAAGCATCAGTATTATTGTTTTAGGTCCTAGATGTATATGATGTACCATCTAAGCAGATTGTTGTAGCCTATTGCCACCAAAAGATAGGAAGAAATAATAACAAATATATGGAAGGATGGACAATAACTTCTGAAAGGAAATCTAAACCTATTAAAAAATAGGATTGTTAAAAAGGTGGAGCTCTACACGAATATCACTATTTTGACAACATTACCCTTGGACTACAATGCCTACATCCTATTACGAATGAGGCTGTGCTAAGTTCAGATCCACCTTAGCTTTTTGTCATCTTGAAGAATACATAATGTTTCAATAGAATCCCCATAGTGGTATCATCATCTATGCCGACTTGCAATGTTTACATAACACATGCAATTTCCATGGCAGCATATGAGATGCCACAAAATTATCACATGACAAGACCATGCACTGTACTTATCAAAGATATACACAGTACCTTCTCCAGCAAGCTACCTTCTGATTTGGATGATTCAGTAATTTCAGCATCAAGAGAGGAAGCCAACTCCAATGCCTTGAATGCACATTCAGTTGTGACAGCTGTTACTCTTCTGATTCCTTTGGCAATTCCCTCCTCAGATAGAAGGGCAAATGCTTTAGCTTCTCGAGTATTTGATATATGAGTACCTGGCAATAACGAACCATTAAGTTATAGAATACAGGAAATGACCAAGAATTTCAGGAGAAATATCTCAAAACATACCTCCACATAATTCTGTTGATATGGATAACCATTCTTTATTGTCTGGATCCTGTAGAAGGTCTTCCACTTTATGGCCGATTGACACAACCCTCACAGGATCAGGATAGATCTATGTCAAAGAATATGAGCACAATTGAGAATGCATTTAGGTCAGAAATCAACTCCAACAAGTTTGCTCATGAAACCAAGTGCGCATTTAAGATTATGTCATTCGAGAAACCAAAGCACTTACCTCACCAAATACTGCTCGCAATCCAACTATCTGCTTCGCAGCAGCCAGAGTCGCTTCACTTGCATACACATTTAACTCATCTTTAATCTGCTGGTTTACAATGGACTCAATTTTTCTCAGATCTTCAGGATGGATGGGTTTCCCTGATACACATTGACAAATAAATTAGAGTCCATAAACATCCAAAAAAAGATTAAAAAGAGTTGAGCATTACCATGTGAGAAATCAAATCTTAACTTCTCAGGAAGAACAATTGAACCCTTCTGATCAACATGATCCCCAAGCACTTCCTAAATTTCAGACAGAACAAGGATAAGTGTTTAGAAGATGAGCTAATAAATCAAACAAGGCATAAAAAATCATAAATGTTTAATACCCTAAGTGCGAAATTAAGCATGTGAGTGCAAGTATGGTTTGGAGCGATCAAGGTACGTCTGTCATAGTCAACCTATTAATAACAGAAAAAAAATGTCAATACACAGGGCAATCTAGAGAACATATTGAAACATTATTTTTTAAAACTTTACCTTGCATATTACTT